TCGACATGCTCATGGTGTGCCACCACTTGTCCAAGAACGTTCCCGAAGACATTGCCTTTGCCGAGTCTAGAATTCGTCCCGAGACCATCGGTTCCGAGGGAATCTTGCACGACATGGGAGCCATCTCCATCATCTCGAGTGATTGCCAGGCCATGGGTCGTATTGGAGAAATCATTACTCGTTGCTGGCAGACTGCTGACAAGATGAAGCAAGTCAGAGGACACCTCAAGGCGCCTGAGGGAGAGTGTGATTTGGCTGATAACTTCAGAGTCAGACGTTTCGTTGCCAAGTACACCATCAACCCGTGAGTATTATAGGATTTCATTGTGTGCGCAATGAAGTATTCGTTTCTAACAGTTTCTGTTTCCTTTCAGCGCCGTCGCTCACGGAATGTCCCACATCATTGGATCCGTGGAGGTGGGCAAGCTTGCCGATCTTGTCATGTACAAGCCCGAGTTCTTCGGTACCAAGCCCGAGCTCATCATCAAGGGAGGTATGGTCTCCTGGGCCCAGATGGGAGACGCCAACGCGTCCATCCCCACCCCCGAGCCCGTCCTCATGAGACCCATGTTCGGCGGTATCGCCTCCGCCCTCGGCGAATCCTGCATCGCGTTCGTGTCGCAGATCTCCGTCAAGAACGGACAAGTCGCCGAGTACGGACTCAGAAAGAGAATCGAGGCCGTCAAGAACTGCCGTAACATTGGAAAGGCGGACATGAAGCTCAACAGCTTCTCGCCCACTGTCACTGTCGACCCTGAGACTTTTGTGGTCATGATCAACGGAGAGAAGCATGAGAATCCACCTGCCAACAAGCTTCCCATGAGCACTGGAATGTGCTTGTTCTAAGTAGTTTTTTCTTGCTGCTTTGTATTTGTATTCGTGTAAAATAAACGCGTGTATTTGCCACCTACTTTTGTTTACTCTCGGTTATTCCGACTTTCCTCACCAAAAGAGGAATCTATTAATGTCGCGGGCATTTGCGACAGGTCTCAACTTAATCTACCACGTCTTGCATCGTTCGCGACAAAAACAGGCTGCTAATATGAAGGTCAGCAAAAATCTCCGAATGTTATGTTACACCGCACGCACGCTGCCGCATATGCATCACACAGCAAAATCTTGCCCGAGCCATTATAATACTCTTGATACGCTTGAGAATCCTTGTCCGCCCCGTTCATCGAAGTAGGTCGGGTCGATTCCTCGCGCTCCCTTCAAAAACGACGCGTATTTCGACTTCGACCGTCTCTTCTCCCCTCTGCCCAAAAAAGAATCAACAAGCGTCCAAACGGCGACGCGGAATGGAACAAAACGCGCCTAGATTTGGTGTGAAGAGTTACTTGATCCGAGAAGATGCCGATCGCCCTGAATCTAGTGAATCCGCCATTTTCGATAAAAACACCATTTTTAATATATAAACTCATTTCTACTAAATCTACAAAAACCACCAGTGTCTCTCCTTCATGATGTGTTTTCTCAGTGTGTGTGGAAGCAAAATCTTCTGCCGCACTTGCACATGAATAATTCGCTCTCCTCCAGGAGCACATGAGTGTTCTGGTGCTTGACCAGCAGATCACGTCTATCGCTGGCGTACTCGCACTGGTCGCACTTGTACACCTTTCCCTTCAGCCATTGGGAACTTGGCCGGTTTGTGGGGAAGAACGGTCTCTTCGTCGTTGGCCGCCTCATGGTCGTGCAGGTTCACAGGCAAGGAAGTGGGAAATAGGCAACCGAAACTTTTGAGCCTCATTATGCAATATTTTGTTTCGGTAAACTGCTGAATACTTCTCATCGGTGCTCCAAACTTTCCTCAACCGCAGATAGTAATGAAAGACAAAATATTATTTTTAACAATGGTTCGTTGGTGTAGTGGTATCACACCACCTTTACACGGTGATGGTCACGGGTTCAAACCCCGTACGAACCTTTTTACCGAATTCCAATCGCGGCATGCTCATGTCGTTACGTTCTAGTCAAGAATCCGGAGATCACACACATGCTAATGTTTTTAGTCAAGAATCCGGAGATCACATATCTTTTTACTCTATGCCAATGAGCGTGCGATTTTTCAAACATGGTTTTTTTTCAAAAAAGCAAAATGACAAAAAGATTCACATCGTCTTCACCCCACCACACCCCTCTTTCCCTTGAAAAACTGCGCCGTCATTCCAACCACAGACCCAAACTTGT